ATATCAAGGATTCAAAGAAATGACATATTTTCCAATGTTCATTATTTTGCAAAAGTAGCGTTCTGCTTTTAACAATATCTTTAGAGTAATTTTATAAAATGTGAAAGTAATTTTATAAATGTGCCTTCATGTAAGCAGTTTCCACTGCCATCAATACGAACTAAAGGGAGCAAAACTCTACTTTATTATTCTATTTTATTTTATTTTTGGTTTTCACTCTTCTTAGTTATACTTACTCAAAACTCTCTGGCTCTGCTCTAGAACCTTTAAGTTTTCTCACTACTATACTCCGGGCCTGAAATGGTTTTACCTAAATTATCCTTCTGACTCACCAAAGCAGTTTCTGAAACTTACCTCCTCGGCAAAACCTTTCTCAGTCAACTAGTGTGGAAGTGATTATCCTCTCGGTGCTGACCTGCCTGGTTTAGGAGAGCAACGCTCCTTGTGCATCACCTCCCAACACCAGCCCTTAACATACACGTTATTAGCAGATTATAAATCTAACAGTGGCTCCCAGAGCTGGCTGCCTATCAGAATCATCTATGCAAGGTACTAGGCCCCATTCTAGAAATATAGAATCAGAATTTCTGGGATAGGAGTCCTGATATGTATAGTTTTCATAAATCTACGAGTGCTTATGATGCACTGCCAGGTTGGGAAGTCAGTGATGTATAGCTCTACTGTCTATTCTGTTTTTGTGTCCTCTCTGGGTATCTGCATCCATTTATATGAATTGGGGTTTGGGGGGGTTGTTTTGAGAGAGAGACAGAGAGAAAGAGAGTGTGTACATAAGTGGGGGAGGGAGGGGAAGAGGCAGATGGAGAGAAAGAATCCCAAGCAGGCTCCACATCCAGCACAGAGCCCAACACAGGGCTTGATCTTACCACCCTGAGATCATGACCTGAACTGAAATCAAAAGTTGGATGCTTAAACAACTGAGCCACCCAGGTGCCCCTATGTGCATTGGGTTTTTAAGTAGAATAATCAGATACCCACAACACATCTGGCTGTGTTAAAATGTGGATTCCCCAGCATCAGCCCAGCCAAGTCTACCGATTTGTCCCTGTGGAATATGGGCTAGGAATCTGCATTTTAACATGCTGCCCCTATCCAAAGTGATTTCCCTATATGGAAGTCACACCAGAATCCCTACGGAGATGAGACAAGGCCCTTCCTGAGGCAAGCCAGATGGGAAATGAACAGGGAACACTGATTTCCACTTGAGCAGCTCATTGCTACTTTGTCAGACTAGAAATAGATCCAGTATTGCCTAAATTATGAATTTTTCAGAACTCAGAGATTAAGAGAAACTTCTCACAATTCAAAAAACAACCAGTAAACAAACATAGCTGTCACTGGCAAGTTGTGCCCTCTGCCTTTGAGGGTTTTACCAGAGCATCTCAAATCTCTGGAAACTTACAATGTTATGAAACAGTATGGGCCTGCCCAAGTGACTCCTTATGATGAATTATAATAGAATTTGTAGGGTTAGAAGGCCCTTATGAGTCATCCAGGCCAATCCCACTATTTAATGTTTGTATCCCCAACTTTAGCATTTCCCCTATCCCAGAGTGATGATTCCCCAAACCACATCATCTCTCATCCAGATGTCCCGCCTGTGCTACACAAATCTGAATGCCTCTTGGCTCCCTGCATTAGGATATCCGACACACAGCACATCCCCACATAGAGCTGTCGTCTTCCAAATGCTCTTTCCTTGTGTTCCCTCAGTGGTCATTGGTACTACTTGTCCAGCTACCAAACCCAGAAACGTAGGTGTTAGCCTTATTTCTTCACAAACCCCATAATGGATCATCTACAAGTCTTCCTAACTCTGCCCCCTTAACATTCATCAGATTTGTCTACTTCTCTTCATCCCCACTGCCAATGACTTATTTCTGGCCATCTCTTTCCTGAATTACTAAATAGCTACCCCGCCCCCGCAATTAGTTTTAGCCCCCTTCAACTCATTTTGCCTTTAATTCACTGAAGCCAGGACAGTGATTCTAAAAGGAAAATCTGATTATGTGAATATCATGACAGTAGTGAGCACCATGATAAGTTCAATCAAAGCAGTATCGCATGGCTCCATTCTTTCTCCATCCCACATCTGAACTCCATGAACAGCCCTGTGGAATTTCCTTTACTCCTCCATTTGTGCAATGCAATCCTTTCCTTGGTACCTTTGCAAAAGCAGTTCTCACTGCCTGAAAACTCATCTCCCTCACTTATCCCCACATCTCCACCTTCTGGCTTAGCTATGTCTCCTGGTTCTTAAAATCTCGGCTTAATCATTATGACCACAATTATCACCACCAGGAATTGAATGCTTTGTATGTGCCAGGGCGCTGTTTTAGGGGCTTGTACACATATCTCATTTAACCTTCACAGCAACATTAGGAGGCAAGTACTTCAGAGAGGAGGATAGCTTAAATGTCACTATCCTTAAAAGCCTCCCATGAGTCCCCTGAATGAATATGTGATGCTAATATACCCAGTAGTACCTTATATTTTCCCCTGTCAGAACACCCACCAAACTCCACCGTAATTCTGTTCTACCTGTCTCTCCCAACAAACTCCAAGCTCCTGGATATAGAAGGTAAAAAAGACTATGCTTCAAGTATAGACTATGCTTCAAGTATAGTTATGTTCCCAGCATTTAGGACAATGCCTCTCAAATAAATAGTTTCTGAACAAATTAATAAATGACTGAATAATTCTTGAGTTATTCAACATTTGAGTGTTCTCCTTTAAACATACAATAGTTGTGCTTATAAACATTACCAATTACTGTCATTTCTGTCATTGGGAGACCACCTAACTCATATATTAGTAAGAGGGAAAGGAAATAGGTGTAAACAAACTGATAAACTATTAATGAAAACATCAACTTTCATTCTCCCACCTGTCTTGACTTCAAATGGATTCCTAAGCGCTTGACTATGTCTCTTGCTTTCCTTTCTCATAATCATTACTCAAGCTTAGATCCTTATACCTTTTGGCTCCACATCTAAGCACCTGTGCATCCATCCATCTGTCCAGCAAGAGAGCTGACACTGAGGATACAGAAGTGAGTGAAACTAAGTCCTTCTCCTCAAGACAAAGTCTAATAATTTCCCTCGACCACAGGAAGGGCTCAATAAATGTTCAAACAGGGACAGTGTCTTCTGTATCATCAGTGTGAAACCTGAAAGCTGTCACTTTTTCTAGGCAAACTCCTTGCACCTTTTTCATTGTAAAAATAACACTGTAACTGTCTCATGACCAGCCAAGTTGATTCTACAAAAGGAAAATCCTGTTTTGTTTTGTTTTTTTTTTTTAAAGATGTTATTTATTTATTTGACAGAGATCACAAGTAGATGGAGAGGCAGGCAGAGAGAGAGAGGGAAGCAGGCTTCCTGCTGAGCAGAGAGCCCGATGTGGGACTCGATCCCAGGACCCCGAGATCACGACCCGAGCCGAAGGCAGCGGCTTAACCCACTGAGCCACCCAGGCGCCCCAATTTAACTGTTTTGTTTTTTTTTTAATAGGCTAAGGCTTAACTAACTCTTCCTCCTTGGCTGAGAGTTGAACTTACTTTGAAGAACATAATTTTGAAACAAATTTGGACACTTGCATGAAGTTCAGGATAATGGGAAGCAGCACTGGAAAAAACAGAGCTTTAACAATGGACCTAGTAGCCTTGCTCTTCATGTTGAAAGGAAAGGGAGACTAAGAGCAGCAAGGAGCCAGGACATACAGCTTTCACTCTTCAAGTCTTCTGCTGAGTTCCCAGCCACAGACTGTCTCTCATAATCCATATGTACACCTAGGGAAATCCCAATGCAAAGTACAAGTCCCAGTAACAATTAAGATCAGTTGTGAACACAGGAAGTAATCTCGAGAGCCCAAAATACCTCAACAGGTTCTTTTATGATATCAAAGCAATTACTCCTAAAAGCAAGTAGGTCGACCACACATTTGTAATAATAAGCGTACAATCTTAGTTGGAAACTTTTAGTTCCTTTATAAAGTTGTCAAACATCTACAGGTTCCATCATCATGGCATCTTCAAAGAAAAGTTGTACAATTTAACATAAAAATTAGGCTATGCCTAAAGGAATTTTTAAACTTTTCAAAAATCTTACTTACTTTTCAAAAAGTAAAATTAAAGTCCCTACACTGTACTACTAAAAGAGGGAACACATATTTACTAAACAAAACAAAGAAAGATTATTATTTTCAGGGTCAAAACTGAGTATTTTCTTTAACAATAAAACTTAAATTGTGCATAAGAACATTGCAGTGAAATGTAAAACAAATATTTTTCTCCCCTTATTTTCAGCGGTCTTTTCTAATGTCGGTAGGGAGGAAGAGATGAAAAACAAAGAAAAGCCTGTTAGGCTGTAACTGAAGATCCAGGAAGGAAAATCTACCTATTAGCTATCATTTCACTCATGGAATTGTGAAATACAGAAACAAACACGTCAATTTACTCATGAGGAGTCAAGTGAGGAGGTAAACACCTCTCTCAAACTATCTTAGTTTGGATGGTGAATAACAAAGGGAGCTCTCTAAAATGTCAAATCTAGAAAGATACCACCTAGAAATGTGCGACAGTAATTCACAGTGATACTAAAAATAAGAATCAGGTTGCAACATCTATACTCGGTGATGCCAGAGTATCAAAGCATCTCCCTAATCTTCTCATTTTATCAAGTGGATCATAAATTGTGGCATCTTTTTGGAGGAAAAAAAAAAGTCTAGGTCACCAGGCCATTTGTTCTTGTAGTGCTCTGGCTGGGGAGATCCAAGTACATATGAAGATCAGTGAAAGCGGGTGGTTAGCACTTTTGCTATCTGTCTGCAGAAGCTTTTAGCACATTTATCAGAAGCCTTACAGTGCTTTTGATATTAGGTCTCTGGGTGTAGCTTTCAAGATCTTTCTTTGTTCCGTTCTTCCTGTATGGTCAAACTGCACCCAACAGGTGGTTTAGAGTGTAAATTTCAAACATGTGCTATTAATATGCCCAAAACTGTTGCTGCAAAGGGGAAAGAAAACCACATTAATTGAATCTCAGCCTGTTCTGACTCATAATATCACAAATATAGTTTGTACGTCTTAAAGCCATACAAACTGATTTATAAAACCATGTGAAAACTTCAGGAGAAAAAAAAACCAATAAAATAGGTGCTATTTATTGTTATTAAAAGTAATTATTGTCTTACAACAATTCTCCAACAAAAACTACACACAGAAGTATAGGTCAATGATAACAAAAAAATAAAAGTTACAATCTCCTTTTCATTTACCCTGGTTTTCCTGTTGGTATACTGATGTTCACTAGCAACAGTATTACATATGTAGATAACTCATAGTTCAAAATTCCTTTGTAATTATTTTTAAAATATTTTTCTCATTAATGTTTTCTGGGAAGGTCACTATTATCCCATTTTATAGATGTCGTATGGAAAATAATAACAGCACCTACCTCAATGGGTCACATCAGGAATTCATTAGAGCATCTGCATAAGCACACAGGGTGTTTGGCACATTTCTTATTGCGTGCTCAAAGCATGTCAGTTATTATCAATATGCAAAATATTAGCAACTCTATTAAGGTTATCAGAAGTCCATTTAAAATGGGCCAATCTGGTTTGGGTCTTCTTCTAGAACAGGACAGTTCTTCCAAAAAATAAATATACCACTGCTTATATAACTCACTAGAATTTAAATAAAAACTTGAAACATTAAAAAAAAAAGACATTCCTGTTTATATATACTGATCTGTCTTTCTAGAACGCTATTGCCCTCCTCACTCCCAACTCCTGACCACTCTACTGGGCTAATTCTTTTTCTTTGGATCTTGGCTTAGATAGTATTTCTTCTAGATTATACTATATATGTGCTAGGGTGCTCCTCCTACATGCCCCAGTGCGTATCACGATGACTAGCTTCTACATCTACTTCCCTGTGACACTAAGGCAGGGATCCCACCTATTATCCACTTCATTCTTGGTGCTTAGCACAATGCTAGAACAGAGGGGATGCTCCATAAATATCTGTGGTATGAGATCTGAAATCAGACCAGTGGGTGTTGGAAGATCAGATTTTCACTGAGCCTGACTGCTGCCAGATGAAGAGATAAAACAGCAGGGGGGGTGGGCGGCAGGTGAGGGGGAGGCAGGTGAGGGGGAGGCAGGTGAGGCTGAATGAGATGTGGTATCCTAGAAGAAGAGGGGTTAAAGGAAATCAGGTCCCATCTGGGCTCTATCAGCTCTAGAGGAAATCAGGTCCCATCTGGGCACCTAAATTCACACCAGCAGTGCCCCATCCAGATGCGCGGATCCTGGATATCTAGACACCAGCCCTGCAGCCTGGGAATGAGAGCCAGGGTGAAGCACACCTGGTCCCGGTCTAAGACTTCTGGGCAGAGTGTGAACAACACAGTGCAAGCCAGGGGCTCCTGATGACTGGAACGAAAGAATCCAATCTGCCCAAAGACCCCAGTGGACTTACCAGACAGTTGGGATGTGTGGTGCACGTCTGGCCCAGCACAGCATTGCAATGCTGAGGAAGAAACTTGGAGACTCTGGGCACAGCTGATGGAAAATGAACTGAAATGTTCTGATTTGTTACAGCAGCTGCATCATAGGAAGGGATGACTTTAGAATAGTATCTGACAGCATGGAAGGAATTAAGGGAGAGGGCTTTGCTGGGAATTCGAGTTTTATACACATCACCAATTGCATTCTCTGAAGTGGAGCTGGACTGACCTTTAATAAAAAAGAAAACAAATATCCATCAGTGTTCACAAACTCTGTAACTTGGAATTACTGTATTTGAAATAAATTGTCTTCTATTTCATTTCCTCATGTTACAAACTTATACTACTCTTACACGCCAATGCTGATGGAAAAACACAGTGAACTTTTTAGTAGTAGCAGTTAGCACAAAACACATACTATAAATCAGCATTAGTGTGTGATCAGAAGACAGATTTTCGAGGAGCATGAGATCTCTGTGCCTGTGTGTGGGTGTGTGCGCGAGCGCCTCTGTGTGGGTGTGGCTTTCATCATAATCAAAATCATGACCATCCCTGTCATCCCTATGAAGCAAGGAAGAATGTTCCAAAGTAGAACTCTATTCAGTAACAAAGTTTGGTCGATTTTCTATCAATGAAGTGGGTTGTATAATTCTATGTCTATATTCTGCATAGTAACTAGAAGGCAGAAAAAGATTTTAAAATATATCCTGAATGTTAGCAATGTAATCTGAAGCAATATTGGGAATACCTGTTTATTTTCTATCAGACATTGATAATAATGAAAGTAAAGAAATTTTATGTCCACTTTGCATACAAATGTATCTAGAATGTTTGTGAAAGGTCATTTCAGCAAATATGGACAGAGATGTATAGAAAGGACAGGTAAAGGTAGCCTAGTAAAGTCTAAACACTGAGCTGGGTGCTAGTGCTTCTGTGTTACAAAGCCAGATGTGAGCAGACACCTGGTGACCTGAGGTGTTCATGTCACTTATCCGGCCTTCAATTTACTGACCTAGCTGGTGACAGTGACATTGGAGGACTTAACTGATCTCAACAGTTCCAGTGCTCTTTCAAAAACAAGTTGGCAAACTGCATTATGAGCTACAAATGAGCTCACATTCTTGAACTCATTCATTACACATGTCCTAGAATCCAGCCCAAGAAAAAATCCAAAATTAGAAAAAATCTATGTAAGGGGAAATATTTCCTTTCATAGTATATGTAGAATCACTCTCCCCATAAAACTACAAATACTAAATGTAGCAATTGGAGGGTGGCTGAGATTTTTCTAGAAATTATTTGATAAAACATTAAAACCATTAAAATGGTGGTAAGGGCTGTATAAGAAAAAATTAAAGTATATATGACACAGTGTTTTTTTTTTTAACAAATTTTTTTTGTTAGATTTTATTTATTTATTTGACAGACAGAGAGGCAGAGAGGCAGAGAGGCAGGCAGAGAGAGAGAAGAGGAAGCAGGTTCCCCATGGAGCAGAGAGCCCATGTGGGGCTCCATCCCAAGACCCTAAGATCATGACATGAGCTGAAGGCAGAAGCTTTAACCCACCAAGCCACCCAGGCACCCCTATATGACACAGTGTTAAGTAAAAGAAGGCAACAAAATTGGGTGTCCAATATGAGTACTATTGTAGAAAAATATACATAGAAAAAGACTTGAAGGAAATACATTAAAAATGAACAGTGATTATTTTAGCTGGGCTCGTGAAGGACTAATAATGCTTTCCAAATGGAAAACTGTATATAAGTAAAATTAAAATGGGGTGGGGGGAGTCTGACTCAATGACTTTCAAGGTCTTCCACAGCATGAACAAGTCTATGACCCTAGTATCTGTGTGTCTTCCCAGGAGCAGCTGCTTTAGTTGATGAAAACCAAGAGATGCTGGGGCACAGAGAGGCCAGAACCTACCACCGGGAAAACAGTGTTTCAGACTTTCTGCAGAATATAAATAGTGAGAACACAGACGTAAGCATTGCATGTCCAAGAAGTAACACTGACAGGCATATGCCTGTGGCCTGGCCTTTTTCTGATTTAATCTGTGCTGATTTGATCATTCTGGGTGATATTCAGCCACAAATACTTGAAGTAGATTAACCATGGTTCATGGCTAACCTTTTTTTTTTTTTTTTAACAGCATTTTCAGGGGCCTTTCCTTCCCCCCCCCGCCCCTAAAGATTATTTACTTATTTATTTGACAGAGAGAGAGAGAGAGAGAGAGATCACAAGTAGGCAGAGAGGTAGGCAGAGAGAGAGGGGGAAGCAGGCTCACTGCTGAGCAGAGAGCCCGATGCGGGGCTCGATCTCAGGACCCTGAGATCATGACCTGAGCTGAAGGCAGAGGCTTAACCACAGCGCCATCCAGGCGCCCCCATGGCTAACCTTTTTTACTTCTTCTCCACTCTGCCCCAAGTCAGAAGGGTCTAAATGGATTAATAAAAACCCTGAATCTTATCTGATTTTTATTTTTTTTTTAAGATTTTATTTATTTATTTGACAGAGAGACACAGTGAGAGAGGGAACACAAGCAGGGGGAGTGGGAGAGGGAGAAGCAAGTTTCCTGCTGAGCAGGCAGCCCAATTCGGGACTCGATGCCAGGACCCTGGGATCATGACCTGAGCTGAAGGCAGCCACTTAAGGACTGAGCCACCAGGTGCCCCTTATCTGATTTTTAGAACAAGGAGAGCTATGTTCTATTTTTGGCCTCTTTCTCCTTTTGACTTTAGTCACCATTCCTAGTAACATCACTTGTTCCTGTGGCGGTTACTATGTCTACATGTCGTGCCCTCTACCACATTATTTCAAATACTATAAGAATCATATTGTGCTTTTGTGACTCTCTCTGTTACCAATTCGCCAGCTCCATAAGAACAAGAATGCATCTTGTTTGTCCTTGTGCCCCCACCTTTCAAGCAGGTACATTTGAGATGAGAACTAAGGGATGAACAGGGAGTTCCCCAGGTAGAGTATGAAAAGGACATCCCCAGTACAGGGAAGGTGCTGAGGTAAGTGAGAAGAATCCCTTTAAGGAAGTCTGCAAAAGAGTGACCTCAGACTTGGGCACTGAAAAGATAGGTCACGGTGTCCTGTCATCTAGCATCCAACATGAAGATTAGGATCTCAGTGCCTTGCTGGTTTCTGAAAAGTAACCATCAGGAATAGAAAAGTCACAAACTGGTAGCTGTGTTCTTTTACTCCGGCTCTGCTTTTATCCATCTTCTTATTTCTACAAGTACACAGGCATGCCTAGACTTTATAACCCAAATAACAAAATGCCTCACAGTGGGTAAATATTTGTTTCAGAAGAAATACTCATCTGATGAAGGTTTCTTGAGTACCAGCTGCAGGCTGGTCAGTGTTCTAGGTACTAGAAATACAGCAAAATGGGTGCCTGGGTGGCTCAGTGGGTTAAGATCAGGTCATGATCTCAGGGTCCTGGGATCGAGCCCCACATCAGGATCTCTGCTCAGTGGGGAGCCTGCTTCTCCCTCTCCCTACCTCTCTGCCTACTTGTGATCTCTCTCTCTCTCTCTGTCAAATAAATAGATTAAAAAAAAAAGAAGAAAAAATACAGCAATGAACAAAAGAAGCAAAAACAATTCCCTGCCTTCATGGAGTTGATATCTCTTCTTAGGGAGAAGACAGGCTATAAGAACAAATCCAAATAAAGAATATTAGCAGGAAATAAGTGCTATGAAAAAAATATAGTAGCGAAAGTGGATAATCAGTCGCATGCGTTATATGATGCTGGAAAGTACGCAGTTTTGATTGAGCAGTTGAGACTCACTGAGAAGGTGACATTTAAGCAATTTAAGCAAAGATGTGAAGGAGGAAAAAGGTTGATATGTTAAATGCTCAGTACATAGTTAGTACTCAATTAGTGTGAGTACTTCCCTTTCCTTTAGATTCTATTCACGTAGTAAAGTCACCAATGTGCTTCTCATCTATCAGAAAGACGAGCTTTTTACTGGACAGTCACATGCAAAAGAAGGAAACTGGATGCCTATCTTACACCATACACAAAAATTAATTTAAAATACATTAAAGACTTAAACATAAAACCTGGAACCATAAAACTCCTAGAAAAAAATAGTGGGTAAGCTCCTTGATGTCGGTCTTGGAAATGATATTTGCAAGTCATATATCTGAAAAGGGGTTAATATCCAAAATATATGAAGAACTACTATAAGTCAATAGCAAAGAAACAAACTGATTCAAACATGGGCAGAGGATCAAAATAGGCATTTTTCCTAAGAAGACATACAAATGGCCAATGGGTACATGAAAAGATGCCCAACATCATTAATCACCAGAGAAATATAAATCAAAACCACAAGATATTACCTCACACCCATTAGAATGGCTATCATCAAAAAGACAAGAAATAATCAGTGTTGGTGATGATACATACTTGTGCCTCTTGGTGGGAATGTAAATTGATACAGCAACTATGGAAAACAGTATGGAGGTTCCTCAAAAAAATTAAAATAATGCTACTATATGATCCAACAATCCTATCTCTGGGTATTTATCCAAAGAAAATGAAAATACTAACTCAAAAAGATATAGGCATCTCTATGTTCATTGCAGCATTACTGACAAGAGCCAGAAACAACCTAAGTATCCATTGGTGGATAAATGGATAAAGAAAATATGATAGATATAGATATATAAATACATGCACATAAAAAAGAATGAAATCTTGCCATTTATGACAATATAAGTGGACCTTGAGGGCATTATGCTTTGTGAAATCAGTCAGACAGAGAAAGACAAATACTGTATGATCTCATTTATATATAGAATCTCAAAAAACAAACAAACATGTAAATATTGAGCTCATAGATACAGAGAACAGACTGGTGGCTGGGGGGCTGGATGAAATGGGTGAAACCAGTCAAAAGGTATAAAACTTCCAGTTACAGAATACAACAGTCATGTTGATAGGGTGTACAGCATGGTGATTATAATTAATAATGCTATGCTGCATATTTGCTAAGAGACTAGATATTAAAAGTTATAAGAAAAAATATTGAAATCTTGTTGACAGATGTTAAGCTGACTTATTGTGGTGATCATTTCACAAGGTGTATACATAACAAATCATGTTGTATACCTGAAGCTAATATAATGTTATATGTCAATTATTCCCCAATAAAAAGAAGATGAGCTTTCTGGGAATGATTGTCAATTTTAAGTCCTATTTCTGAAATAACACCATAAAAATGCCTGTGGCCATCTTTTGTACTTCAAGCAGGTATACCAGAAGGACTCATGGTGTAATCGTCTAGTGACACTCCTTTCCCTGGCTACAGCAATGAATGCAGAGGTGTGCAAGGGTGCCCAGGACACCACATAAGCCAAGGATACTACAACCACAAGAGTTTCAGGGGGAGCTCACCTCTCACAGTTTCATCCAAGGAGCCCCCTGAGGCAGGAACAGAGTACACATTCAAGCACTTATTAGTCAGGAATCTGATCCCTCTCACAGGTGAATAAGTGCTTGTCAACACACCGTTTTCCCTTAAAAGGACAGGAAAAAAAGCCAAAAAACACCTTACACAATTCTCAAGGAAGACTACATGAACACTGCTGAGTTCAATTGTTTTATCATTCGTGTTCTAAATAACACAGAGCCTACACTATGAATAATTTTGGCATAAGAACAAATGGTTGAACAGGTACATGATGAGTTTAGGATGTGGAGGAATGATTTGCTTTACAGTTTTTGTTTGTTTATATATTCTAATAAATTAATATAAGAAAGCATTCATTTGGCATGTCACATTTTGTACTAGCAAATTCTTTAAAAACTCCCAACTGAACTAGGTCCAGATGGCTTCAGGGCCCATGACCTCCTGTGACAGAGGAATGCTAGAATGCATCCTGCCTCTGTCCGTCTGCCAGGCATGACCATCACTACTGATAAAGCCTTATTTTAAGATCTTGAGAATTAGAAGGGCAGAGGGAGAGGGAGAGAATCTTAAGCACATTCCACACCCAGCATAGGGTCCCATACTGGGCTTGATCTCATAGCCCTGAGATGATGACCTGAGCTGAAATCAAGAGTTGGACGTTTAACTGATTGAGCCACCCAGGAGCCCCGAGTTCAAGGATTCATAATAAATACTTGAGTTTTTGTTATGGGAGGGGGGGTTCAGTGCCTGTGTACAATACTTCTAATGCTCGCATCTGAGGAAACTAACAAGCCAACTTCCAGTTCACAAGAGCCCTCATCGTACCTTTGTGCCGTGATCGTGCCTGGGAGGGATAGCTGGATGGACATCTGCTGCTTCTTACAAAACCTCCTATTGCTCTGAAGTATGTCCGTAATCTGAGAGGGAGAGAAAGTGCGTGATCTATTTAGACACAGATATTTTTTCATATACACAAACACATATACATTTCCAATTATAAGAAATAAAACTGTGGCTTTAAAGCACTGTGTGTGAGGATAAAATTCAAGGGCTTGGAGTCAAATACCTGGCCCATAATGGCTGGGGGGATTTTCTCCCGGATGTACTTCACATAATCAACTGTTGCCTCAAGAATCGAAGCCGAGTCATTCTTTCTTCCCTTTACATACGGCAACAGAGTACGCAGCTGCTCACAGCAACACTTGATTCGTTCTCTGAGCAGAGAATTGTAGTAAATAAGGAAATATCAGTCTCGTTTTCTACCTTGTACACAAGGACAAACAAGCCTTCCTCCTGGGTGTGTTTACAGAGGAACTGCCTCCCTCCCCATCTAATCTCTGTTTCACAGAAAGGCCGTGTCCCCATAAGACAGCAGCCTCTGCGGCCCCTGGAACCACAGCTTCCTAGGGCGTCTGCCCGCACTGCTGCCAAGTACGGTGTCTGCGCTGACAGTCGCCCCGGTTCCCTTGCCCCAGGCCTGCTGCACTGTGCGGGATGACCCGGTGCAGGGCGCCCTCCTGCAGAGGAGCTAGTGGCATGCTCTGCATCAGTGCTTTTGTGATTCACACTAGAAGCCTAGCGGACAAAGACAAGTCAGGAGATACTCATGTCACTGTGACCTGGACCACATTCCCAACAGCAGATCAACTAGCATCTTGTAATTACATGTGTGTTACATGTAATTCTGTGTTCTGAGCCAAAGAAAAATCAGAAAGCTGCTTTCTTCACATGAGGTAGGTAGGAACGGAACAAATAAACCAGTATGCAAATGAGAACATCATTCAGGCTGGTATCTGCCTGATAAACTAAGTCTTTCATAGTTCTGAAGGGAAATGCACTGAAAATGTAAATCTAAGGCTTTGATCTAAGACTTTGGTAGATCACTTAACCAAAGATGTGTTCACTTAACCAACATTATTAATACCTGTTTTTTTCTAAATAGCACCCTGACATATACAGGGTCAAGTGGTGGCTCTGTCAATAACCAGCGGGAATTTTTGGCAAGTCACTAAAACTTCTGAACTTCAAAATGGCAATCAATCAATCAATCAATCAATCCTTTTTAAAAAACCCAATTTGGGGAACCTGGGTAGCTCAGTCAGTTAAGCATCCAATTCTTGATTTCAAATGGGGTCATGGTCTCAGGGTTGTGGGACCAGCTCTGCATTGGGCTCCATGCTCCACAGGGAGTCTGCTAGGGGTCCTCTCTCTTCTTCTACCTCTCCCATTTGCATGGGTGTGCACATGCTCTGTCTCTCTAAAAAAAATTAATCTAAAAAAATTTTCAATTTGAGTGTGTAAACCTGGCAATTCACAGACCTGTACCCCTGAGGCTAATAATACATTATATGTTAATAAAAAAATTAAAAATTATAATAAATAAATAAATAAATAAACCTAATCTGCTACCATAAGGGGAAAAAATTCAATTTGATACATAGCCTGTGAATAATCCAAATATTCTAGGTCAGTGGTGTTTTAATTGGGCTTTGAGCAGCTTGAGGGTTCTACAGAGGTGTCTCAGGGACTAGTCTAGGAAAAAATGGCAACAATTTGACAATGTGTATGAAGGGCTTTGAAATTTTCATACCCCTTGACATGGTACTTGCACTTATAAGGACCTAAAACACAGAATAAACTTTTTGCAAAATGTGCAAAATGATATCCATTATAGCAGTATATTAGTAAGATAGAAAAAAACAACATAAACACACAAAATAGAAGGATACATAGGTAAGCTATAGTATACTAACAGTTGAATATTATCTGGCAGTGGAAATGAAAAACTATAAGTCTTATTAGGGAAAAACAGAATATTTTATAGGATACAAGCATAAAATATAAGGCAGTATATAAAATATGAACATAGACATGAAATAAAGTAAAAATAAAGCATAGAAAAAGACTTGAAAGTGATATCATCAAGTAATAGTTATTTCTGGATGGCTGGGTTATGGAAAATATTATTATTTCCTTTTATTTTTTATATTTCCCAAATATTTGTGCTGGTTACAAGTCACTTTTTTACTAAAAAAATCATAGTAGATATTTTTTCCAATGTTCATCAGGAAATGTTCAAACACACAGAAGACTGAAAGAATTTAGGATTTTAATTCTTAAAAATTGAAAGAAGAATTCGTGTAGAGAACATGTATGTATTGCACCTACCTAGAATCTATAATGAACACAGACTGTCCTTGCTTTGTCATGTATGACTCATACCACTGGCCACGCAGCAATCCATTGTATTATACTGAAGCATTCCAAAGTAAATTGTAAACTTAAGGCACTAATGTCTTAAACATATCGTTAGTCAGAATTATTTTATTTTCAAATAAAAGTTACATGAAATACACAAGTCCTCAGGGTACCATTCTGTAAGTTTTGACAACTGCACAAAACTATGTAACAAAACCCCTAATTACCATTATCACAACTCCAGAAAGCTCCTTATGCCCCTTTCCAATCTTATCTTTCAAAAGGGGTAATAACAGTTTCTGATATTTTCCATCCCCCATGAGTTTCCCTTATCTTTGAACTTCATATAAATCAAAGCTTATAGCATGTGCCATTTTTTTTTACAACTTTTTTTTTTTTTTAAGATTTCATTCATTTACTTGACAGACAGAGATCACAAGTAGGCAGAGAGTCAGGCAAAGAGAGAAGAAGGGAAGCAGGCTCCCCACCAAGCAAAGAGCCTGATGTGGGGCTCAATCCCAGGACTCTGGGATCATGAGCCGAGCAGAAGGCAGAGGCCCTAACCCACTGAGCCACCTAGGTGCCCATATGTTCGATTTCTTTCACTAAGCATGATAATTTTGAGATTTGTCCATGTGGCTGTTTGTTATCAGTGGTCTGTTTCTTTTTATTGAGCAGTAGTATTCCATAATATAAATACCCACAGCTTATTATCCATTCTCTTACTGATAAACACTTCAGCTGTTTCTGGGTTTTGGTCATTTATGTAGAAAACTGCTAGATCATTCTGTACATCTTTTGTGAATGTATGTTTTTATTTCTCTGGGAACAAATGTAGGAATAGAATAGGTTAATTTTTTAAATCTATAAGAAACTGGCAGAACTTTTCCCAAAATAGTACTATTGTACACTCCCATCATCAGTGTATGAGGGGTCCTGTTGTTCCAAAACCTTGACAACATTTAATATTGTCAGTAGTTTTAATTTTAGCATTTTGGTCTTTCCGAGGAGTACATGGTAGTACCTTGTGCTTTAATTTGCATTTCCATGACAAAAAATTATGTTGAGCGTTCCTTTTTTTTTTTTTTTTTTTTGGTGCTTATTGGGCCCTTGTATATTTCCCTTTTTGCAATGTCTGTTCAAGTATTTTATCCCTATTTTAACTGGATTGCATCTTTTTGGTCTTGAGCTTTAGGAGTTCTGTTTTCTCTGTAATACCAGAATTTTGTCAGCATACTTGTTTTGCAAATATTTTCTCCCAGTCTATGGTTTGCCTATTTATTTTCTTAGTAGTGTGTTTAGATAGCAAAAGTTTTATATTTTGATGAGTCTAATTCATCTACTCTTTCTTTTATCATTATTGCTTTCTATGTTTAAGGAACAGCTGCCCACCCTCAGCTTGTGAAGATATTTTCCTACACTTTCTTCTAGAACTTTCCTGTCTAATACAGTCCATTAAGCTGGTTTATACAAATATAGACATTAAATAAATATAAACTAGCTAAAATTAAATAAAATTTAAAATTAACTTCCTGTTACAACAGACGCATTTCAAATACCCAACAACTACATATGACTAGCAGCTACTTCAGTGGACAATGACAGATATAGGACAGTCCTAACATTGCAGAAGTTCTATTAAACTGCTGTTTTAGAAGCTTTATAGTTTTAGCTTTATAGTATAGATCTGTCTATGCTCCATCTTGAATTAATTTTTATATGGTATGAGTAAGGGGTCAAGGTTCATTGTTTTTCCATTTGGATATCCAGATATTCCAACACCATTTATAGAAAAGACTTTGATTTCCCAATAAGTTTGTTCTGGTGATTTACTGAAAATCAAAAGAACACAAATGTGTGGATCCAATATTGGGATATTATATTCCATTGATCTTTTGGTCAACCTTTATGAGAGTGACATGCTGGTTACTGTAGCTGTATATTGTCTTAAAGTCAGTTTCTTCCAGTTTTACTTTACTTTTTCAAGACTCTTTTATTCTAAGTCCTTTTATATTCTAGGTCTTTTTCATTTTTTTTCATTTTTAATCAGATTACCAATTTTTACCAAAAAAAATCCTACTGGAATTATGATTTATATTTGAATAAAGTTGTATTTCAATTTGGTAAGAACTAACATCTTAACAATAATGATTCTTCCAATTTGTAGTTATGGTATAATGCATGACTTAGGCTTTCCTTAGTTTCTCATGGCAATATTTTGAGTGATCAATGTATAATCCTTTGTGTCTTTTGCATGTTTTCCCCTAAGTATTATAAGGCTTTTTTACTCTTTTATAAATGTAATTATTTTTAATTTTAATTTTTTTAAAGATTTTATTTATTTATTTGAGAGAGAGAGAGAGAGAGAATGCAAGTGGGGGGAGGAGCAGTAGGGATAGCAGGGGGAAAGAATTTCAAGCAGACTTCCTGCTGAGCAAGGAGCCCAGTGCAGGGCTCAAATCTCATGACCCTGAGATCATGACCTGAGTCAAAACCAAGAGTCAGACACTTAACCAACTGAGCCACCCAGGTGCCCCTAATTTTCATTTTCTAATTGTTTGTTGCTTATATATAAAAATATAATTAATTTCTGTACATTATGTCCTGTAACCTTGCTATATTAATCGTTTGGTTCTAGAGGTTGTTTTGTAGGTGTCTTAGGACTTCACACATGAACAATGCTATCTATAAAAAGTTTGGTTTCTTTCTAATCTGTATATTTTTTTTCTTACTATGGATTTAATTTATTTTACTTTTTCTAGCTCCTTAAAATGGACTCTTAGGTCATTGATTTTTAGACCTTTTGTCTTTTCTAATATAAGCATTTAAAGCCATAGTGTTTTTCCATAAGCTTTGCTTTAGCTGCATCTTGCACATTTTGAAATATTCTCTTCTTACCACCATTCAGTTTGCAATATTTTCTAATTTTTTTGTGTGATAGTTTTCTTTTACCCATGGATTATTTAGGAGTACATTTTTTAACTTTCAAATATTTGAGATTTTCCTTTATATCTAA